CTGCAGTACTATAGCCAAAAGATAGAAATAACTCAAATGTCCATCAACAGACATATGGATAAACAAAATGTTGTATATTTGTACAATAGAATATTATTTGGACATAAAAAGGAATGAAATACTGATCCATGCTACAGAATGGATGAACCTCAAAAACAAAACGCCAGACAAAAAAGGCCACCAATTGTATGATTCATTTATATGAAATATCCAGAATAAGTAAATCCATAAAGACAGAAAACAAACTGGTGGCTGCCAGGGGTAGGAGGGGGGATGGGACTGAGTGCTTAATGAGTACAGGGCTTTCTTTTAGGGTGATGAAAATGTTTTGGAACTAGACAGAGGTAGCTGTTACACAACACTGCGAATGTACTAAAGGCCACTGAATTGTACACTTTAAAATAGTTAATTTTGTGTTATGTAAATTTCACCTCAATTTAAAAAAATAAAACGAAACTCGAAAACCTCACTTATGCTATTGGAAATTAGCAGAGTTACTGCTTGGGAGTGGCAGGGGGCTTCTGGAGACTGTCTTGTCTATTTCTTGATCTGAAACTATTAGATCTAGTAATAATTAATGTCGTTTTCTAATACTTTTTAAAATCGAATTTATTTAAACAATACAACAAAATTTAATCAAAAATATAGTTGCCGTTGTTTTCTACTACTTGTGCCCAACGCTCAGGAAGCATTTTAATCCCTCTGTTGTAAAATTCTTGTGATTTTGATGCAAAAAACTCGGTCAATGCATTTTTGAGGCATTCTTCATTATTAAATTTTTTTCCAAGAAGAAAGTTTTGCAAAGAACGAAACAAATGGTAATCGGAAGGGGCAATATCAGGAGAATATGCAGGTTCAGGGAGAACTTCCCATTCCAACTGGCACAGTTTTTCAGCAGTGATTCTTGCAGTATGCGGACGTGCGTTATCGTGGTGAAGAATTACGCCCTTCCGATTAATCAGCGCGGGTTCTTTTTCTCTTAAAGCTTGGGCTAACCTTTCCAATTGGGCACTATACACTGCACTTGTAATGGTTTGGTTAGATGGTAAAAGTTCATAATGAAGAATTCCTTTAAAATTCCACCAAACACACAACATCACTTTTTTCGCATGCAAGTCAGGTTTTGGCGTGGGCTGCGGAGCCTCATTTTTGTCCAACCATTGAGGCCGCCTTTTCAAATTAACATACAGCACCCATTTTTCATCTCCGGTAACAATTTGCTCTAAAAACGGCAAACGGTTTTGACGAGAAAAGAGCGAACTGCAAATTGTGACTCTTTGATTACGGTTGTTGTCGGTCAACTCATGAGGAACCCATTTTCCAAACTTTTGGACTTTGCCAAGTGCACGCAATTGATTGGAAATTGTTTTTTGTGAACAATTTAAAGTTGTCGCAAGCTCTTGTTGGATAATTTGAGGATTTTGCACCAAAAGAGCTTGAAGAGCTTCTTGATCAAAATTGGACACACAGCCTCGACCACTCTTGTCATCTAACGAAAAATTTCCCTCGCGAAATTTCTCAAACCAACGCTGGCATTTTCTGGCGCTAACTGCATCTTGACCAAGAGCACTACAGATGTTTTTTGCAGCCTCACTTGCTTTTCTTCCTAATTGGAACTCGTAAAGCATGCAGTGCCGAATATGCTCTTCATCCGCCATCTTCTTAGCCCTAGTTTTGCAACAAAAACCAAACCAAACACAAACTTTTTCAAGCAAAACTTGTTAATTGCACTTCACACGTTCTGTAGATACCACGTGTTTGAAGGTTATGTCAATACAAGTCAAGCCAAGCAAGATTTTAAACGAATGTTTAAAAACGACATTAATTATTACTAGACCCGATAGTTTGGGGGTGAGCTTATGATCCAGGCACTTACCTATAGTGTTTTATGCTAAGAACAAGCTAAAAAGACAAAAGAAACCTAGAAGGAAAGAAAAAAACATTCCCACAACAATCCCAGTTTACAAATGAGGAAACTGAGGCACAGAGAGGTTCCATTACTTGCCCAAGGCTCATAGCCGCTGACCAGAATAGCTAGGATGGAGCAGGGTTTGCTTTGTCCATGCTCTTAACCACCACACTGTCTGCCTCTACACAGGCAGACAGGACCAGGTCCGGTGGAAAGGGGACCAGCACAAAGCATGAGTCACTCCAGTAACAGTGCTCACTTCACCCGTTCCTTGAACAGACCTTGCTAGGCAAGAAGCAGCCTGTGGGCCAGGCCTTGAAAGCACCGGTTCGAAGGCAGAGGACGCAGCACTGCCACCTTCTCAATGGAACCTCCAGTCAGTCTTCCTGCTTAGCCTCAGCGTCCTGGTAAGACACCTGCCTCACAAGGCAGCTAAGAAAATGCAACAAATCAAGCTTGCCCACAGCACAGCCCATGCCTGGCACAGAATGGGCACAAATTAAACTGGGACTGCTATTATTGTAACCACCAGGGGTGCGATGGTACAGGTGCCAAAACAGTTGCAGTTAGCAAAAGCCACCTTGCCTTGCACATCTCTGCCAGCTGCTGCTCAGAACAATGGGCACTGAGAAGCACAGGAGTGAAACAATCATATGAGTGTGGTGCAAACCCTCAAGGCAAGTGTGTCCCAGGGAGGCCATCTCAACAGCTCATCTGGCCGCTCTGCAGCACAAACGAAGACAGTGAAGGCCTGAGAGGAGCTGAGGTCCACTTACTGCTACCAGCAGACCTCGACTAGAGACAACCCTTACCCCCGCCACAGTCCTCCAGCCACCACAAGGGCGCCCACACTCCAGCCCACACCCCAGCCCACACCCATGGGCCTCGGGAAAATCAGGAGCCTGAGACTGTGGCCCACAGACCACCCTCAGTAACTGATTGTTGAGATTGTGTGAGACCACACCCCAACCCACCCCCAACCCCCCACACACAATCTCAACAATCAGTTACTGAGCACCTACTTTTCTAGGCACTGGGGCTACCGCAGCAAACAAGCTGGATCAAACCCCTGCCCTCAAGGAGCTCGCAGCGTCAGAGGCCTGCATTGTTAACCCATCTTACAAATGTGCAGCCAAGGCTCAGAGAGGTGACAGCTTACTCACAGTCACACCAAGAGGAAGTGGCAGGGCCAGCGTTAGAATCTTGACATCTGCCCAGGTTCAGAAAGTTCCATCGATGGCCCCAAACACAAGGCCCAATCTGAGAGGTAGATTGACATGTCCTGAATGACACCCCTGTCTTTTGAGGGCAACAGGAATAGCTCTCCCCCGCTCAGTCTGCTGGGGAAGGCTGGCCCTGGGGAACTGCCTCTGCCCCTCATCACTGTGTCTGCAGCCTGGGATAGGGCGGGATGGGTGGGCATTACTCCCTAGTCACTAAAGGCCAGCCCCATCAGCCTCCCTGCCCTCTTCAAACATGCCGGTCCACTCCCCTCTCCAGACTCATGGGCTCATGCTCTTGCCTCAGTCAGCCATGGGATTCACTCCCTTGCCTCCCTTAGAGCGTTATTCAAAGGCCCACTCTCAGCGAGGCTCTCTGAGAGCCTATTTATGACAGTGTTCACAGCTCCTCCTTTACATGTTGCTTGGTTTTTCTCCATAGCACTTACCACCAGTGGACACAGATGCCTACACCAGTGCCACTGCCCTCGCCATTAAATGTAAGGCGTGAACATGAAGACGGGATTTGCCTGTTTGGTTCACTGTTATATACCCAGTGCCTAAGCATGGCAGCTGCTCAGTAACTGTCTGCTGAATGAATGAAAGTACACACAGAACAGCATCAGCAGGCCTGAAACCCTCCCTCCCTAGAGGAAGATCCAGGAAGGGAGGACAGCCTGCCTTCTTCCTCCTCAGTCTGGACAAGCCAGCTCTCAGCACAAGCTTCTTCCCAGCTGCACGCAGTAGCAGAGCTGATAAGTGCCACAGCTTAGTGGCCAGACAGCCTGGGATCGAGGGGTCTCTTAGTCTTTACCCAGTAAACAACTTCAGTTCTCTGGCTGCTCACTGGTACAACCAGATTAGGTCACACCACGATTCACAACCTCCTCGGCTTCCAATCACCTAGAGTTCCATTGTGCCATTTCCTCCTGCTCTCCCTCCCTCACTCTCTGCTCCACCTTTGTCCTTGCTGTCACCCTTACCCCGCTCCCTTACCTGCTCCAGCCTCTGTTCATCTCAGAACGACTTCCCCAGACCACCCATCTCTCTCCAGCCCCTTCCCTCTCAGAGTTCCTATTTTCACAACAGTACTTATCACTACTACTATCACATGTCTGCATATTTGTTTGTCTCCACCTCCCAATGGAATGGAAACTCCCTAAGGCCACCACACTGTCCCCAGAGCCTGGAACACCTGGCATACCCACATTCAATGAGTATTTGCTGAATGAGTGTGCTACTTCAATTAAGTGACTTCCCTTCTCTGAGCCTCAGTTTCTTTGCCTATAAAATGGGGCTACGAATGAAGTCACTAGTGCAGAAGCAGAGCTCAAGGCTTGGCCTGTGGCCTCATGCAGAGTATCTAGGTAGGCCTGGAGACTTGGCCCAGGCAGAGCCACAGCTCCCCTGCCCAGACTGCTGCTGAAGGATTTCATGAAATGGATGGTAAAGAGCTACTGGCTGTGCCGAAACCGGTTTGGCTCAGTGGATAGAGCGTTGGCCTGTGGACTAAAGGGTCCCAGGCTCGATTCCTATCAAGGGCATGTACCTTGGTTGCGGGCACATCCCCAGTAGGGGGTGTGCAAGAGGCAGCTGATCAATGATTCTCCCTCATCGATGTTTCTAGCTCTCTATCCCTCTCTCTTCCTCTCTGTAAAAAATCAATAAAATATATTTAAAAAAAAAAAAAAAAAGAGCTACTGGCTGGGATGCTGGCTCTGGGGGGCTGTGAAGACCCTGCATCTCTGCTTCTCGCAACATCAGCTGCCAGGAAGAGAGGGAGATGGAGAGGAAGAGGGAGATGGAGATTGGAGGGGGGGAAGAGGGGAGGGGGGAGATGCACAATCCCACAGGAATAGGCAACCCCTTACCACGCTTGTGGAGCCAGCCTTCTTTGATGACAGACACCTCGTTCATGGTGGCAGCGTGACACGCTGTCACCGAGCTCAGGACAGTTCAGGGCAGCAGGACATGCAGGAACAGAGCACAATCTGCAAGACAAGAGAGGAACTCATCAGAGTTGGGGGGAGACTGGGCCCCAGCCCCTTCCCTGGGGACCTCCAGGCTCTGAGGCCCCTGTGGAAGCTGTTTGTTCTGCACGTGGTGAAGCCAGTGAGAGCAGCAGAGCCCTGCTCCTGGGACCCAGTGGATGGGAGTGGGGGGATATGGCTGTGTCCCCAGGGAACCCCAATGGGGGGTGGGGGGGCAGGAAGGACGCAACCCTGGCCACAGAGAGCTCCCTGCCCATGAGCAGGCCAGACCCTGTGCTCAACACCCACACTGAGCAGAGGCAGCCCATCCACCCACCCTCACTCCAGGCTGGGATGGTGGTAAGGGAGCTATGGCCCCGCCCCCAGCACCCCTCCCATGCCTCAACAGTGAGGTAAGCTGGATGAATCAGACAGCCCTGGGCACCTGAAGGAGTGCTCAAAACCAGAAGCATCTGCCTGCCACCCCCAGCACACACACACAGTCTCACTCTCTCTCCTTTCCAAACCAGGCCAACAACCTGCCATCTTTAGCAAACCAAGTACTCCCACTCTCCTGCGACAGGCCACCCCATGTCTCACTCAGCCTCAGGTCCCTCCTTGTCCCTATTTAAAAAAAAAAAAAAAAGAGGGCCTCAGGTATTCCAGGAAAGCAACCTACTGTGCAGACACTTGTCTGGGGCCCAGAAGCCAGTCCTGGGGTCTTGATCAAGGCCCTGGTCCCTTCCCCAAGACCTCCCTTTCTGTCCTCAGGGACCAGCAGCTGATAGACTGACAGACGCCAAGGCTGCTGGTTCTGTCTCAGGTTCCCAGGCGGGCGGGTGGAGGGGAGAGGGGCGGGAGGCAACCACCAGCTGGGCCCCTACCTGGAGCCGCAGGCCTGGATAGGAGCCATGAGCCCAAGGCGCCTTTTCGCCTTTCCTGGCCTAGGGTTATTTGCGGACAGCAGGTCAGGAGCTCTGGTGGCCCCCAGAGAAGTGGCAGCTGGCTCTAGGGACACTGCGGGCATCAGCTTTCTCCCGTGCCCCAGGGGAGCTGGTGGGCGGGACACACTACTGCCTGGCATGTGACCGTGGCAGCCTGCCGGGCCGGCAGAGGGAAGACGGTAAGCGGCAGGAAGCGGGGGAAAGACAAGATGAACAGTGACGGGGAAGTAAACAGCGGGCTGAGAAATCATGTTCTGAACTCCAACCTGCAAAGGCAGGGCCAGAAACAGCAACACGGGCTCCCCTCAGCAGCAGGCATGATAGGCACCCCAAAGGACTCACACCCCATGAGCCCAATACCCAGGACTGTCAGACCTTCAATCCTAAACATCCCACCAGTTTGTTTCAATCACGAATGTGACCAGTTTCTCCATCCAGCCCTCCCGGAGTCTGGCTCAGGTCCAGCGCCATCCTTTCCCAGCATGGTCCCGCTATACCTGCTCCCTAGACTCCCCTGCTTCTACCTGTCCCCCATTCCACAACTAGGACCACCCTCAATCTAGTACTCAAAACCCTCCCACTGGCCTTGGGAAAGAGACAAGTTCCTAAGCTTGGGATTCAGGACCCTTCAGGACCCGGCCTCTACCAGCCTGTAATCCACTGTCTCCTACGCTGCTGACCAGGGCGGTCCCCACTGCTCAGCCCCCAGCTTCCTAACCACGTCTCCCACTGGGCCCCACCTTCCCCCCCTCCCCCTTCCTTCACCTCCCCTCCCCTTCTCTCCTTTCCTCTCCTCTCTCCTCCCCTCCTCTCCCCTACCAGCCTTCTCCCTGGCTTCTCAACCCCTGCACTCAGCCCCTTCATTCCGTCTAATCTACCCTGTGAGCCTAGAAAGCCTTCATAAAGGCTAATGACCATGACAATGAATACAGCTGGCAACACCTCTCCAATCCCTCTTCCCCATCCTACTCCCTGCCTGCTTGTCACTTAGGCCCTTCCCTCTGGCTTCCATCCCCCACACCTTGGTGAGTTCTCCCTCCTCGAGGTCTCAGCTGAACCAATTCCTCCTCCAAAAAGCCTTCCTGACCCCAGAAGCTTCACTGGGTGCTCTCTGTGCACTTCCTCAACCAATCTCCCCACGCCTATTCGCCTAACCGTGCTCACACAGCGAGCCAGCACAACACCTGGCAACCACTGAGTACACAACGAATAAATCCAGTCTCCCCAGGAGACCCCCTCCCCCAGCCCCGACCAGACACAGCCACAGTAATACTTCCCCAGTCTAACCTGCCACCAATTTTTGTGAGGGTGTCCTAAGCTCTACGGACTATCCTGGGTGCCAGACAGAGCATCACTAAGACAGAGCCCCTGCCTCCATAAAGCTCACACTGCAGTGGGGGATGCAGACACATGTCAATGACAGGTGGTGGGGACCCCGCAGAGAATAAAAATAAAGCAGGAGAGAGGATGCAGGGAAAGGTGCTATGTTAGCCACATGCTGTGGGGGACATTTGAGCAGGATGGGAGTCCTGATACGCAGGGAAAAGAATGTCGGGCAGGGGAACAGCAAGTGCAAAGCCCCTGATGCAGGGAGGAGCTTGGTGTGCATGGAGAACTGCCAAGGGGTCCACGTGGCCACGGGGTCGGAAGCCGGAGAGGTGCGTGGGAGGAGACTTAGGGCCTGGCTGTGTGGTGGGAACTTAGGGACTTCTTCCCCAACACAGGGGCCAGTACTGCACTTTCGCAGGAAGGAGTTCAGTTTGGAAGAGTTCCCAAAGGGCTGGGGCTGGGATGGACCCAGAGTCCAAAGGAAGGGTGATGTGGAAGGAAAGGACAGGGCCTGGTGTCCAATCTCAGCACTCCTCTCCCCTCCCCTTCCCAGCCCAGCAACTGCACCTCAAGGAGCCTCCATGATTCAGCATGGACGCACCCAGTATACACAAAGGTTCAGCCCGCACGCAGCCTAGCCCCCAAGAACCCCGAACCCATGGCTGCCATGATCGGAAAGAGAGAAGTGAAGGCAGCCACGTGTGACCTAGAGTGGTCAGGGTTGCAGAGTCCGGGAGTCACTGCCAGCTGCGTGGCTGTGAGCAGGGTGACAGCGTTCCCCTTTAGTCTCTTAAATGCTCCCAACCACCCCCCAGAGCCGCAGCGACCACACCTCGGGTAGGCAGAGGCACAGAGAGGGAAAGCCGGTTACCTGGGGTCTCCCAGCTAAGCAGTGGTGGAGGCCCTGGCCCATGCTCGGCACACCAGAGTCACTTTTTACTTTCTCATTTCAGCGTCTAAGAGCCAGCAGTAGCTTGGGCTAGGGCAGGGGGAGGAACTGGAAGATCCCTAGTCGTCCCGCCTGGATCCTGCCCTGTCCTCCCACTGAGGGTGGCGCCTCGCTGAGGTGTTTGTGACGCAGTCCTGTGATGGTGAAACACCAGGCACCTCAGCCAAGAGGATGGCCTGCTCCCCGGGGAGCTGCGATGGAGGTCAGCGACCAGCCTCCGGAGGCCAAGTGTCCGCACACAGGGGCCTGCCCTGGCCAATGGCTTGAAAGCAGCCTGCCCCCCCCCCGGGGGGGGGGAGTACCTGCACGGCCCCATCCCCACTCCCTGCTGCTCCCCAGGCTGTCCGGATCCGAGTCTGCTGACGCGTGGGCCAGAGCAGAGCTGTCAGCTGAGAACCACCTGGGTGAGGAGAACAAGGGCACCCCACAGGAAAGGACACAGTCGAGGAACGCTCCCTCTCATTAGTTACAGGGAAATGCAAGTTAAGCCCACTCACCAGGAGGGCTGGCAGGCCAGTGCTGGCAACCATGTTAAGGAATAGCTGCTGGTCTGAGTATCAAATCGTCAGCCACTATGGAAAACTGCTTTGCAGTAAGAACTAAAACTCAACATATGCCTACACCTTAACCCAGCAATTCTCAGCCCCCAATAGAGAAGAGTGTATTTGTTTACCAAAAACCTGCACTAGAATGTTCCTAGCAGCATACAGTGACCCCAAAACTGGGAACAGATTGGGTGTCCACCACAAAAGAATGGATAAACAAACCGAAGTAAATTCTTAAAACAATAAAAAGGACCAAACTACTGACACATACAACAAGGATGAAGTGTAAGACTGATGCTGAATGACAGAAGCCAGACATAAAATAACACAGCAAGTAAGGGTTCATTCATGCAAGTGCAGAACAGGCAACGTGACACTTTATTTAGGGATGCTTTTCCAGCTTGTAAACTAGGCAGGAAGAAAATCAAGAACGAATATCCAGAAGTCAGGAGAGCAGTGAGACTTGGGAGTAACTGAGAGGGGGCGCTATTTCTGGGAGCTGACAATGTTTTGTGGTGATCACACCAGGCTCTGCTTTGCAGTTACTTGTTATATCATACTGGATAAAATGCATTTAACATAAAACTATATTTCCTTGGGGATCCAGAAGATACAGGGGAGCCAGAAGTGGGCCTCCTGGCTTCCAGGACTCCCCTGACTCCAAGGCTGGTCTGCCTGGATTTTCCCCTCAAGAAGGCTGGATCAGAGGAGGAATCTGGAGTTAGGGTCTTGCGTTGAGCCTCTGCCTCCTGGTGGTCAGTGTGTGTCACAGCGACCAGTCATTCAGCTGATTTGCATATTAGCCTTTTATTATATCAGTTTATTGTCGACCTCTCCCCACTGTGATGTCAGCATGGTAAGGGCAGGAGCTCCGGTTATCTTGGGCAGCACTGGCTCTCAAAGCCTTGCTCAGTACAGTGCAGGGTACACAGTGACCACTTAATATATATTTGTGGAATGAATGTGTACCAAGTAAAGCTCTGTGCCCAGAACAGGCTCAAAATAAGTTAAATTCATTTCTTTTCCATTTGTCAGATCCTATTTCTCTCGCCTCCTCTTCCTGACCTGTTTTCTACACCAGACAGGACAGATGGGATGAGGGAGGCAGAAGAGGAGGCTGAGGCTCTGTCTCCAGGCACTTACGAGTGTAGGGTGAGAGCTCCTTCCTGGCGCTGGGATACCCTCCGGGAGCTCTTTCACCTGCCTCTAATCTGCGCCTCACCTGCAGCTTCCAGAGGACTTGCTCAGGAAATA